CCTGGAGCCCAGCTTCTTCCGCCAGCCAGAGCGTCCCGGCCCTTAGCTCCCAGTGTTGATATTTCAGAAGCAGCAGCTGTCACAGAGCTGGTTCCAGCCCAGAGGTCTGGACGCCTTTACAACCCACGCTAGGCATCGGGCGTGTCACCAGTCTCACCACCCCCACCGCCCTGGGCCACTGTGCTGTGACTTATTGATCTGATGTATTAAACTGATGGATTTTTTTGAGAGAGAAATGTTTTCTCTTGAAGTGCCATTATGTCTTGGGATTTCCTGTGACTTGGCAGCAGTTCCGGTCTGACTCAGAGCGGCTTGACCTGTCTGACGGCTGCGGAGCCCTTGTCCCAGGCCTCTCAGGGCTCCCAGCTCCGTCGCATCACATGGAGCTGGCACCGTGTGCGGGGCTCCGGGAGGCGGCTCCCGACTCTTGGGACCCTCCAGTCCCCATGGCCGGCCACGAAGTGAACTCATGGGCCCACCTCACAGCTGAGCAGATGGAGACCTGACCGGGCCGTGTCGCTCCCAGTCTCCCTTCTCACGCAGCCCAGGTGGGCCGGCTGTCATCACGTGGCAGTGCCAGCGCTGTGTCGCTGCACCATTGCAGCCGTGTGGCTGGTCTGGGGCTCCCCTAAAACAGGGCACACATGGATGGGTCCGCACAGGCCCATTCACCCCCGTCAGCTTACACAGCAGTGGCCCCAGAAAGCTCCAGTACAGCTGACAAGGTTCCGTCTCCTAGTGACATCACAGTCACCTGCTGGCCCCCTCGGTGACGCCAGCGGCCTGCCGGGATACTGTCACGCACGTACACACTGACAGTAAGCAGCTGCATTGGCTGAGCGCCCTCCACACTGTGCTTCGCTTCTTACTTAGATTATACTCTCTCATCTTGTAAAGAAAGAGTTTACCGCAAAGCCACACACTTCGTGGCAGTGGCAGCAGCCTCTGCCCATGTTTCTAGTGTGTCTTGGTTGCATCAGGAGGCCGTGTGGCACGATGGAGCCATGTGATCCTGGCAGGTATAAGTGCACACTGTGATGTCCCCACAACAAGATGGCCCAACAGCACAGTTCTCAGAATGTGTCCCCAACTTTAACAACATCTGCCTGGAATTGTTAATAATTATGCTTATTCACAAGTAACCATCATACTGTACCTTTTGGAATACTTACCAGTGTCAGGCTTGTGTGATTTCTGGGGACTCTCTCATTTAGTGCTCGTGGCTTATCTCAGATGCCCGTTTTTCAAATAAGGACCCTAAGGAAGAGAGGTAAGGCCCCACTCAAGGTTACACGGCTGAGACCTAGTTTCCACCAGTGTCTTCTCCTCAGCTGCAGAGCTGGCCCTGGCAACTCTCCACAGGGCTGGATGGGACGGAGGAGAAATCACTCTTGTAAACCCATCAGTCCCATCAGTGGAGGGTCAGAGTGGGCCTTAAGAAGCTGTTTTTCAAAAAGGCAAAAAGTGCAGCTAACAGGATTAGCTGTCACCTCATGGGCTCCAAGCCTGATGAGAAATCATTTCATTTCTTCTGCCCCTGAAGGTCACCCATTCCGCGCTGCAGATCGAATCATTAGTGGCAGGCGAATCTCAGAGGCTGGGGACAATCATCTCAGTGATTATGGAGCCTCTCCCAGCATTGCCAGGCGCAGCGTCCCTCCCACTTTCCCTGTCTTGCACTTGAATCCCTGGGCAGTCATAGGAGGGAGTGGCCGCCGTAGGCCAAGCACCTACACCACTTCCCAGAGGACCTGCTCTCGATTAGCCGCACACTGACACCTACCACCTTGGCACTGGCCCAGTCTTTCCTTAGATTGATGTCCATTTAAAGGGGACTTCAGTGAAATGGGTCTAAACCCGTGTGTGTGCGTTAGTGTCACCAGTGAGGCCCATTAGCACCCAGAATGGGCCTTCAGGCCAGAGTTTCTGATTCAGCAGCTGTCAGGTGGGGTCTGCGAATCTTTTCCACGTGACCCTGATCTGCATCAGGGGACGCTGATGTCACTGGCCGGGGCAGCATGGAGACCACTGGCTTAGCGCCCACTCCAACAGGACACCAGGATTCATTGCCATGCAAGGGTCAGCGAGGGCCTCTGCCAGAATCCTCTGAAGCCCGGAGAAGGCGCTGTGAGGAAATTGCTGCTTGGCAGGTAGTGACTGGGGCTGGCAGCAGTGGGGAGCTGGTCCTGCCCTCAGCTGGAGGAGCAGAGGCACGGGGGCACTGTCTGAGCAAGAGGTCAGAGTTGGAGAGCCCAGAAGGAGCAGGGAAGGGGGCAGCTCGGGCCTTCTTGCTCCTCCTGTGGGCTGACCTGGTGGGATCAGACCCTAGGCCGTAAGCAGGCACAGACACAGAGCAGCCACCCTGGTGGGCAGAGGAAATGCCTGTCACAACCCTGCTGAGACTGGCTGGGCCCTGTGGAAGATTCTGAGCCCAAGGCCCAACCCCTGGCTTTAAAGCTGATGAGTGCTAGGAAGGCATTAAGGACCCATTAGCACCACACAGAGACCCCTTGATGGAGGCAACCTACAAGATAGGAAAGTTAATTGCTCCTCCTTTCCTCTTTTGTTCAACTTGATTTTGGGACTCAGCACCATTTCAAACCATTTGTGAGAAAACAAGACCGGGTAGCCCAGGCTCCATGGGCCTTGGTCACCACCTCAGGGTGAGGCTGGCTCCCTTCTTGAAGGTGGGCTGGGCGCTGGTGACCAGGGCATCCATCTGCAGGCAGAGACTCAGGTGCAACCTGCGGGAGCGCCAGGAGCCACTGCTGTTGTAGGGTGGGGCCCACTGTCTGCTCCTCATCCCCTCAGTCCTGGGGTCCCTGTGCCACATGCTTCTCAGAGACCCCCTCCAGCCCCATCTGTCTGACAATCACAGCAAACGCCTAGAGCGTGCCTCGTTTTGCTGCTGCCCGCACCTCCCGGTCTGAGCTCCAGCGGCCTCCTGGGCAGACAGACCCCGCACACTCCAGCGTCCTCAGCGCCTTCCTGCTGCAGCGTCCTCCCTCCTGGGGTGGCGAATGTCGCCGTTCTGGGATCCCTACAAGAAAGGAAGCCCTGCACTGCCTCCTCCCTCTTCTTGGCCCCCACATTCACACTTGTAGGACCCCAGCCTGCTGGGGCGTTTCAAGTTCACCCACTTGTCCTCACCCTGGAGAGCCATAGGGTCACCTCTGTTTAGCACGGAGATGGCCGAAGTCTCCAGCATCTTGCTCCTGTTCGTTCTCCACCTTCCTCCCAGCATTGATGTCTCCTTGCTGAGACCCTCAATATGTCATTACCCGCCTGTCGCCTCGGTCAGGCCCTGTGTCCCGTCTGGCCTCTGCATATCCAGTCTTTTAAGTCCGGCCACCGCCCTGTCATACCTGTAGCTGGCTGGGTTCAGATCACAGGAACCAAAGGGCCGCAGCACTCAACTTAGGGGACTTGGGGGTCCGCCCAGAAACCTGTCTGGGGAATCGCTCGGAAGAGGAGAACTGCCAGGGTGGGGGCCCTGACTAGGGCACCACGCCCGTGGAAGTGGAAGTCAGGAGCCCTCGGCTCAGAGCTGGCCCTGGAGCTCGAGCCCAGGCAGGCAGAGCAGAACCATGGCAGGAGGTGGTCTGGAGCCCTAATCCCTGTCCGGTGAGTACTGACAGTAGCCACAGGGTTAAATAGGGAAAGAACCGCGCTATGCACAGTTATGCCTTCTTGGTTAGATCAGGGTCTGCTGAGCATTATCTCGGGTCTGGCTCTGCGGGGCCCTGTAGCCCCAGGGACGTCTCACTGCCTGAGGTGTTGTCCTGCCAGGCTCCTGTTCCTGAAACTTGAGACAAGCCGGGGAGGAGAAATGACTCAGAGAGAGAGACAGCACAGGTAAGGGACAAAGTGGAGTTAGGTAAGACAGTGGGGAAGCCCCTCTTCCACGTGGGTTGCATCTCAGAGCTGACCGAGCCAGAGCCAGAGGGCAGGGCTGCTGGTCAGCACAAACAGGGACGTAGAGGGTCTCACTCACTCTCTGAGCAGAGACGGGCAGAAGGGACTCCCGCTGTCCAGAACAATCCTCCGAAAATAGAAACACTCGCAAAGGGACCGGGAGATTGGGTAGGACACGTCAGCGCCCATCATGACTGGCACAGAATGAGCACCTCAGAAGGTCACCCTTTATTGTGACTATTGTTGCTGCTATTAGCAAGCAACAATGACACTTGTTCTTACTATTGTCATTCACGTCCTTGGCTTGAGTGGGCTGACGTTCCAGACAGATGCGCAGAAATACAGCCAGAAGACGAGGAAATGCGTCTGGCATTCAGTAGGGCATTCAGTAGGGCCCAAGAGGCTGATCCAGCAAGACATCTGTGATCTCCATAACTGATTCATTCTGGAGATGCAGCCCCCAGGGCCCAGCCCGAAGAGAGCGGGACCTGCTGGCCCACGGCCCACGGCAGCTATGCGAGCCATCCTGGGCCGAGGGTGGTAAAGGAGGCAGCCGCATCCGTGGCTGGCAGCACCAGCACTGCTGATGAGGAGGCAAGAGAAGCATTAGCCGTTCCGAAGGGAGGAAGGTCTGGGTGAGGGCCAGCCCTGGGGTGACCGTGCCCTGGCATGGCCCCGCCCTCCCTGAGTTCTCACCCCCCTCCCTCCCTGCTGCCTCGTGGGCCTTGGGCCAGCCAAGGGCCTTGGAGGCCTTGAACGTGTGGTGCCAGGAGGTGTTTTAACAACACCCAGGCTGCCAAGCGTGCTTTATTTACAGAAATCCAAGGGATTGCCCAGGAGATGGGATATTTTTGTAGGAGAGAGAAAGAGAAGGAGAGGAGTTTTCCCGACTCTGAAAGCCCTGCTTGGGAGATGGGTGTTTCTGAATCTAGGTTTCAGGGAGCAGTGGGGACTCAGAACTTACTGTTGGCTTCATTCGTGTTCTGCTTTGGATGTGAAGTAGCCATAAGGGCAGTCTGTGGGAGGCTTGGCCCCTGGCTGGTGGCCCTAGTGGGAAGCAGTGGAAAGTTCGGGAGGCAGTGTCGCTGGAGGAGGGTGGGGTGTGCCCTGGAAAAGAATGCTGGGGTCTGTGGCTCTTCTTTCTCTGCTTCCTGCTTGTCACGAGCCGAGCAACTCTGCCCCGCCACACACCCTACTGTGACGTTCAGCCTCGTCTGAGACCCAGAGTGATGGCGCCAAGCGATCATGGAGCTGCTGAAACCATGAGCCGAGATGAACCTTCCCTCCTTGAAGTTGTGTATCTCAGGCGTACTGTCACAGGGAAGGAATCTGACTGACACAATGGGTAAAGAGTATCTATCGGACATTCCTGGTGGGAGGGACTACTTGTGTAAAAGCAGATGTAGGAAAGGACATGTTTGATGCTCTAGAGTCCAGAAAAGCTGAAAAGGAGGACTCTTGTAAGCCCTAGAAATTCTACTCCAACCGGCTTAGGCAACCACGGTGATTAATTGGTTCATGGGACCGAAAGAACAAAGGACTAGCTGCTTTAGGCATGGCTAAGTCGAGGCTCAAACCGTGTCATCGGGCCACAGACCTCTTCCATCCTGGACTGAGGTCCTTGGCGTCTGCTTCACTCTCAGAAAGGCTCCTGCCACCAGTGATACGATCACTTTCACCCTTGCACCCTCACACCTGCTGGAGAGAAGGGCTTCTCTTTCCCAGCAGCTCCTGTAAAAGCCCCGGGTCCAGCTCTGACTGAGTGACCGGGGCTGGGGGACCAGCTCCGACCAGGCTCCAACAGAGCATGGCTGCTCCTTGGGAGAACCACGGTGCTGAAGCCTTGGGAGCAGCAATGATCATTTCCAGGAAATAGGAGAGCAGGATGCAGGGTAGATGAGAGTGGGGTACCCTGCAGGGCAAGTGTGCTGTGCATGTGACATGGGGTGCAGGTGACAGAACCTCCTGAGTGCTGGGTGAACATAGAGACATTTTCTGTAACGTCTGGAATAGGGCGGCCCTGGGAGCTGGGCATTAGGCCCCAATGAGGTCCTTTTTCCACAGCTCTGCTTAGCAGCTACGGTGCCCCTGGCCCTGCAGTGTGGCTGAGCCCTCTTCCAATCTGACTGGTTGCTTACAGTCCAAGGATGCCCAGTAATGGCCACCCAAAGAATGTCACCCCTGACGGGCAGCAGTCTGGTCCTCAGCCCGTCCCCAGTGAGGGTGGCTTGGCTGGTGGCCTTACAGTGTTCACCGCCCCCAGTGGGGATGGGGCCGGTGGGCACAGGGGGAGCCCCAGAGGGCCTGACTCTGGGCCTTCATGTTCTGTTGCAGGGGTGCTCTGGCTGTCGGTGGTCTCTGAGGTGCTCTACATCCTCCTGCTGGTGGTGGGCTTCAGCCTCATGTGTCTCGAGCTCTTCCACTCCAGCAGCGTCATCGATGGGCTCAAGCTCAACGCCTTTGCGGCCGTCTTCACAGTGCTGTCAGGTAAGGCTTCGGGACTCCGGGTCACCCGCGGGTGCGGCCTGATGTGCCAGCCGGCTCGGGCCTGGTGCTCCCCTCCTCTGAGTCCCAGTCTGGCATCTGCAGAGGCGGCAGCCGCCCACCTAGACGTACACCTACCAGCTGTCTCTCACATGCCAGGCTCTGTGGAGCCCTGGGGTCGTAGTAGTGAATGTGAGCAGGCAGTCGCGGCCTCGTGGGACTTCACACATGAGGGGCAGGGGGAGATTGGCCTATGATGTCTTCAGTTCCGGAACGGGTGCATTTGGGGAATGGATGACGGTGTGGCATTCGTGGGGCTGACAAGGAGGAGTCCTTCCTGCTGGCGGAGTGCAGCTCAGTGGCAGGACACTTGCCTGGCATGCTTGAGACCCTGGGCTCGATGCCTGGCTGCAAAAGAAGAGCCTGTTTGGGGTGAGGAGACATTGGTCCTCTGCTTGGTCCTCTGCCTTTGAGGTGCACAGAGGTGCTGAGTGGGCCCCGGAGTAACCGAGCACAGCTGGACACTCAGTGCAGTACTGGGCCCAGCTGTGGAGGTGAGGATTTTAGGAGGAATCCAATGGTCAGCTGCATCATACAGCCCAGCGCAGTGGAGACAGAGGATGCTGAGGAGAGGCCATTGGATCTGGTACTCATGCGCCCAGAGCAGTGCCAACTGCCCCAGGTGGTGAGGAGGTAAGCAGGGAGGGCACCAGAAGGACGGAAGAAGCCTGTACAGTATGCCACAAGAGGGGTGACAGAAAGTGGCGCCTTGGCTCCGAAAGACATCTGTTGCTGAAAAGCCACATGTAAATTGAATTTCTACAAATCTAGTAATCCTATTCTTCACGAGTCGGAAGAACTCTCTGCTGAGTGAAAGTGAAGTGAAGAGCCTCTTGGTAGAGGAAATAATCGCCCCTAATTGAGGTGTGGATATAACTGAGGGGTCCCTAGGAGAATGGAGAGCTGGATTCAAGAAGTCACAGCACATTCCATAGATCAAAACGCACTTGACTTGTCATTCCCAACACGTGGGACTCTAACTAAGAAAAATACAATGACTGTCATAACACAGCGTCAGTCGGACCCACCCTACTCGTTCCCAGCTGTTCAGAACTGAGGACGTGTTGATTTTTTTCATTTTTTATTCATTTTCCCCATCAACGCCGCTGCTGAAATTTGGGGAGGTGAAGGAAAAAGACTCAGCCCTGGGCCTCCCGAAGTTTGCCCTGTCCTGGGGACAGCCTTGCCCTCGATTGGAATGTGCGTGTTGATGTCTGTGCCGGGTGCGTGGGGGCACCGCAGGAGGACACCCACACTTTTCCGGGCCGTGGAGATGGGGAGATGGGGTACAAAGAAGGCAGCATTTGAGGGGAACTTGGAAATCAGTTGGAGTCGGCTTGGTGGACTGCCTCAGGGTGGGGCCTTAGAGGTGGGTGGAACGGCACAGCCAAAGCCCTGATGTCTTCCGAATGGCAGGGAGGCCGAGAGCAGGGAGAAGAGGGATATTGAGAGATGAACCAAGGGAGCTGAGGGAGGGTCTTGATTTTTTAAAAACTTTTGGCATAGGTCTTCAGGTTTTACCACGCAGGCAGTAGGAGCCACTGAGGAATTCAGAGTGAGGGGTGACATGGTCAGGTTTGCACTTCTGGATAATCTCCGCGTTCAGGGCAGAACACAGATGGAATGGAGTCTTTAGGTAGGGAGGCTGCAGCGATCATCAGGGTGAGAGGAACAGTGTTGGGGATGGGGGTAGGGGGTGCAGGCACCATGCCAGAAGGGAGATCCCCGAGCAGGGAAGAAGGCCCCGGGTCCAGGGTCGCTGGCTGGAACTCCAGTGTTCACAGTCTGTGGGCTGAGAGGGGAGAGGAATTAGCTAGCGTTTCCTTCAGCAGTCTCTGGCAGGAGTCCCCACCTCACACCACACCGCCGCCCTTGCAGACGTTCTGAAGTGCACAGCCTCACGAGTGTGATGTTTATTAAACACCCTTGAATCGCGTCGCTTCCTGTTACCTCAGCAGCATGACACATTTGAAGTTTGTGCACCGTTTTCCCTATGGCTGGTTTCCTTTGTCATCATATGAATTTTATTTTATGCAGCTGAAAGCATTCTGGGAAGGGCCCAGAGGGCCAGTGACCCCTGATCTGGTGACTCCTTGCCCCAGGCTGGCCCTGGCCTCGGACAGATTGCATGGTGGCCTCATCAAGATGGGGAGGGAGTGGTAGCAAGTACGGAGACCCGGCTGTTGTGAGCTGAGGTGCTGTGGGCACGCTGGCTCCTCTCCTGCCTGGAGCTTTCTCTCCCCCTCTCCTGCCCTCCCATTGTCCCCAAGCATCCAGCCCTCCCCGTGACCTCCTCACTCCACTTCCAAAACAAGTCAGTCCCACGGCCAGTTCTGCAGCAGCCCCTTGGGGAGTAGAAGGTGGGGGCTCCTCCCTGCACCTCAAAGGACTTTTCCAAATCTCACCCCTCCTAAAGACCCTGGACTCCCAGGGGGGAGTCCCGCTGCTAAAGTAAATACGATCATCTCCATCATTCCGGCAGATAAGCATGCATGCGGGGCCAGAGAGGTTAATGGACTTGCCCAACGTCACGCAGCTGGTCTCTTACAGAGCTGGGATGAAGCTGCCTCCAGCTGCCTTCAAAGCCATGCACGCTGCACAGGATCATACCGTGGGTTCAACCAGCAGGGAGGGGAGGACCTTCTAACGCCTGTAGAAACCGGTAACCGAGAAGAGCACGGTGGCCAGGTGATGTAATAAGATCAGAGCAGCAGATGGTGGAGAGAAGGGATTTAGCCCTGGGCTGGGAGGTGGCGACATGGATGGGCAGGCTCTGTGCAGGACGTGAACTCCAAGGATGTTGCAGAAAGAGCCAGGAAGCTGACCTGCTGGGTCAGCAGACACAGGGCACCGGATTCAGGGAGCCCTTGAGGACAGGGTGAGAGGGGCCGAGGGGCTTCTGTTGCTTGTGTGGGGAGGCGCTGTGTGTGATCCGGACGGAGCCCAGCAGGGCTGGCCAGAAGCCAGCAGCCAGAGCCATCTGGGAGATTGGGCTCTGCCATCTGCTGGACTAGCTCAGCCCAAGGTCAGCGCTTCGAGGGTGGAGGAGAGAGCAGGGGGCAGCCCTCACTCAGACCAGCCATGAGGGTGTTCTGTTAATTGTCACAATTGCCAAGCAAGTGTGCTTAATCCCAACCACCAGCACTGAGGTGCGACAGACTCTCCTTTGACCAGTTTGAATCTGGCTCCTGTGTCCCCTCGCTGGCCAGGCCCTGACTTGGGCTCTGCCTCAGCCCTCCCAAGTAAGTGTCGGCAAGAATCCTGTGGGATTGGCTGACCCCCGCCCATGGTATCTGAGCAGATTCCTCACCAGAGGAACTCCCACCCCGGCCGGCCTTCAGCCAGACCTCTCAGTCGCTTTAGCCTGATCCCCTCCCCGCGCTCCTGCTCAGTACTTCTCCATCCCCCAGCCCACCCTGCTCCTCCCTCCATCTCCCTTGCCCCGTGTGGACGCTCCTCGGTTTATGATGGGGCTTCGATCCTATCGTGAGTTGAAAATACCCAAAACCAAAAAATGCACCAAGTACAGCAAACCTACAGACGTCCTCACTTAGCGACACAGCGCCCTGTGCAGCGCAGGGGCCTCTCCCTCATGCCCTGAGCAAGGTGCAGAAGGAGGACTGGACGCACGTCACTGCCATTTCAGCGTGGGAAGCGTAGTTTCTGTTGACCCTGTCTGTTCCACTTTGACACCATCCTAACGTCAGAGAGCCAAGTGGAACCAGCTAAGGCGGGTGGTCTGTCTCCAGAGTCCAGCGCCCTGCCCGGCA